CGTCGACGGCGACGCATGTGCGTTTGCATTTGCTCGTCCGAATAATGAGGGGCGGGCGCATGGCGCCATCATTGCCATCGTTACAGTAGCGAGCCTGCACGAGCTCGGAGAACAATGCCCCCAAACAGGTTGACGCCACGATCAGGCTGCACATGTTTTGGAACGCTCGCGGCCGCTCGCTGACCATGCGGCCATCAGCGTTGCGCTGCTTGAGAACTAAACAAACGAAAGTAACGACGTCTGCCAGCGAATGGCTCGAAGTAGAAAGGCCCCGACAACGTGCCTTGCGCGTGCAAGGGGCCCCACATATGCCCGGCCATGTCCGCAATCGCCTGATGGCCGCAGTTCGCCGCGCACAAGGGTTTCCACCCGCGCGTGCGCCCATCGCAATCGACGCTGCAAATCACCATACGGGCACTTGAAACCTCGCGGCACCAGCGGCTGCACCACCGAACAGGACGCGGGTGTGATGCGTCGAAACGCGATAGATGGCACGTCGACGCCTCGCGCTGAGCGGGATGCCTTGGTGCACTTTGTCATGATAACCAGAACGCCGACTGCAGTGCGCGCGTTGGACTCAAGCGATTGGCTTGCACGTGGCAAGAACCAGACGTCGCAGGAGCTGAAGACAATGTATTTTCACATAGCCGAGCCACTTGCACTTCTTCAAAGTCGTAACACCAGTGTCCCTTGACAAAGTATAGACATAACCCAAATCACGCCAGAATGCGCCAGCGCCGTCGTTCAAAGCTCAAGACAGCTTGATCGGAGCAAATGCCAACGGTTCGCCTGCAAGCGTTCTCCGCGCAAGACCATCAGACTGCATGCCTCGATGCGTTGCTGCAAACATTCGCCCCGCGAGGCCGGCGCACTGCGGGCGCGCGCAGGGCCCGCGCTGCCCCGAGCCACAATGGCGAGCGGCAGAAAGCGGGCGGTCAGGAAAGCGCGCCATCCCATCGACATGCGTAACCTTTGGGGCGGCGAGGACGGGGGGGGGCCGTGTCCACTCAAGCGCGGGAGCAAAGTGTGCGCCGAGCTCCGTGCTCGGCCCCTGCGCCCTTCCTCCCCATTCCTGATTCGTCTCGCTCTGTCTTCGCCCTCCACATTCCCCCTTCCGCCCTTCCTCGGCATCGGGAGGGGTGGGGGCGGGGTGGGGGGGGCGGGGGGTGGGGGGGGGGGGGGGGGGGGGGGGGCGGCCGCCGGCGCGCGCGATGTCATCGGCGGGGGGCCGCGACCACTCCGCCGCGCGACGAGGGCGAGGAGGGCCGCGCCCGCTGCAGCGCGGGGGCATCAATGCATATTTTCAGGTGCACAGCGCTGTCTCAAAGTCACAGCGCAGCTGCATATATAGCAGCGCCCCCCCCCCCCCCCCCCCCACGCATAGCTGAGATTGCGCTGCGCGCGGAGCGCCGCTGTGGAAATCTACGGCAGGGGCGCGGCGCTGCAAGGGCGCGCGGGCTGGAAGGGGCCCAGGGGGCCCCGGGGTCCAATGAGATAAAAGGCCCTGGGCCCCCCAGGCAACTAGAGGGCCCCATTGGATAAGGGGCCCCGAGGGGGCCCCCAGGCCCCCCAGGCAATTGGAGGGCCGCGCAGAGCAGGGCATCGCGATCAAGACGTCGAACCTCGCGTTCAATTACATTATGAGCTTGGCCAATGGCGGGTGGCCGTTCCAGGACCTTGCGTGGAACGCAGTTCTCGCTACTCTCTACGACATTCATGGGCATGCACCCAGGGTGGAACGACAAGTTCACGAAGGCATTATCGCTGACGCTGCATATAGTTCAGAATAGGATGTCGACCATGAGCAAGCACAGCCTGCCTCCTGATAGCTCTGCAACTGCGGCGTCAACATCCGCGCGCTTCGCCGACGGAGCCTGCGCGACCATGAACACGGACCATCAAAACCTATTGTTTCTGGAGGGTGCTCGGCGCACTCGCAGCAGCACAGGCGCTGTGGAACGACGTGGCCCTGGTTGCAAATAATAAGCCGGTCAGGGCGTTGTTTGAGTTATTTTGCCGCGACAAGTATGGCCGCAGGTCATTCGCTGGGTGGCATTTACTAACAGGCGCGCATTGGACAATGGCGGACGACAAAGAATGCAAAGACGCCCGTGGCGCGACGCGGCGGGGCGCACGGGCGAATTCAAACAAAGGGCTTCAACGCGACAGGCTTCAGCGTCTAGTCAACGCAAGTGGAATTTTCGAGGCGCGCGGGGTGCGTCGCAAACCAGGCGTGGACAAACAAGAATTCGTCGACCAGTTCAAGGTGTTGAAAGAAATGCTACGGCATCTATGTGCAAGAGCTGCAAGCACAAGTTGCCAATGGGCTGGCCCAAAAGCGCTGGGAACAAAACATGGCCTACCTTGCACGAGGAGTGGGCGAACAAAGCTGCAGCGGCATGGGCGTGGCCACGCGAATATCTGCGTCGCCAGCGCACGGGCAATTCTGTGGGCCTGGGCGCGGCCCGTTTCACGAATCTCGCGCCAGCTCTACAAGTCGTCCAGTGCGGAGATCGTTTCTGGTTGTCCCTTGGCCACCGCGCGCGGGCCTTCTCGGGCTGACAGCTGCGCCGTGGCACCCTTGGCGGCACGACGCATTTCAGATTTACCGAGGGCCGGGGTTCGGCAAACATGTTGCGCGGTAGTTCTTGCACTTTTTTTTTTCTTTCTGGTTTCCACGGTTAGCTTCTGCGGTCTAGGATGTTCGGGCCGCGCGTTTGAGCCGCGGGGCGCGACGGTCGGTATTATTTCAGCAACAGTTGCATAGCACCTTGAGGACCGCGTTGCTCGGCTCCGCGTCGCGGGCACATCCGTTTGGAAGGTCGCCCCTGCAGCGGCCTTCGTGCTGGTTTACGCTGGAGTTGTCATGGGGCGGATCACAGATCCAGCATTTCTCATGAGGCACTCGCTGACGACATCTGCTAACGCGTTGAACGGTAATGACATCTTGCAGTGCGCTCGCTTCAGCGGCGGCGTTGAGCGACGGCTCCGAAGGACGCTTGCACTATCCTTGGTGAATTACTGGGCCCCGACGACCCTGCCAACGCCGCGGGTGGCACGATCTACATGTCCTTTACGACCGACGGAAAATGCGCCTCAGCGTTTGACGACGCGCCGGTCAAGACAGCGTTCGAGGACCTCGACGCTGAGGGCGAGCGCGAATTCCCAGAGGCCGGGAAGGCTATCAAGGAGAGAAGGATCAGGCATCGATGCGCCCGGCGGGCCAGAAACAATAGAAAGCGATGACAAAAGGCCAGGGCAAAGGCTACGCCGATGCCCATGGCAGGCCGCCCCAGGGGGACCGCCTCCCCCCCCCCCCCCTCCACCGCCACCGCCACCGCCTCCACCGCCACCACAAGCACCTCCAGCGCCTGCGCCAGCGCCAGCACCACCACCGACAGCACCAGCGCCAGCGCCACCAGCAGCAGCGGCAGCACCAGCGCCAGCGCCTCCGCTACCACCGCCAGCGGCAGCCCCCCCCGCCACCAGGAGGAATGCATGTTCATGGACCACCTGTCATTCCAGGGCGGGTTTACACTAATTTTGGGCATGGGCGTTGCGGCCGATTCAACGGCCAATTCCAGCTTCGCTACAGCCCTAGTTTACGCGACGCGGCGTCGTGGAATATGCGCGTCTGGGATACCGCCTCAAACAAATGGGCAACTCGATCACCTATGTTTCGAGTGCTCGTACAGACACCAGAAAGAGACGAAGCGTGGGTGCGCAGGTGGCTAGATGAGAACAGAACGTGCTGCCATCATTGATGAAAGTTGTTGTGAACATCGGGTGTGGAAGAGTGGCCTTGGCCTCCTTTTAATTTGTTTGGGCATTGGGTGTGGCTAAGTGGCAAGTGGGCCTCATGCTGCCGCACTGACAAAGTACGCGCCTGGGAAAACAAGGACGCGTCAACATCATCGTTGTCGTCGTCATCACCGTCGGTACCGCCGTCATCATAATTCTCACAACCATTATCACCATCATCAAAATCACCGCCATCAGCGCCATCATCTTCACCATCGTCACCTCCAATTGTAAGCATCATCAACTTCACTTGCTCCCGTCCTCATTCTCACCACCATCATCATCCATCGGTACCATCGTCATCATCGTCACCATCATAACCCAAGTGAAAATTATCAGAACCCAACTGTTATCCATCAGAATCCATCAAATCATAGAGACACACGTTCCCGAAAAAAGGCGACTGATCTAAACCCCCCTGATCTAAACCCCGCGGAGTTTTCTTGACCTCCTCTTGTTTCAATACGTTCCTGGCCCACCTCCTGGGCCGCGCACGGGCCGCCGGCCCTGATTTGCGCCCCCCCCCCCCTCTCTGACGCCGCCCTCTTGGCCGCCCCAGGGGGAGAGAGAGAGTACGGTCGTTCTTTCAGGATTGGCCGGGGGGTCCCGAAACGCCGCGCCGCCTTCTGAGAAGGCCTGCTCCGTCACGTTTCCCCCCCGTGCGCGCCCCCCCAAAAAAGGCGGTGGGGTGGGGTGGGGGTCAGAGGAGGAAGAGGTACCCATACTCCTACCCCTCGTTCCGTTCTCCCGTTTTTCGGCCACCTGAGACGCCCTCGTCGTCACCGCTGGATTCGCTTCGAAATCCTGGTCAGAACGCGCCCCGGGAGAGGTCCGGGGAGCAGCGGTATCAGTACCTTTTGCTGTCCTCGGGGGGGGGGGGCGGGAATACAAGGCAAGCAAATTTGCCCGCGTCTGCAGTTTAGACGCCACCTGGCCCCCACGCGCGGGCCTCGCCGCGTCTTGGGCCTTGGGGCATGGAGAGGCATAGGCTCAAGTCGCCGACGACGACGACGCCGACGACGGACCCCAGATGTTTCCGGCGGTCCCTGGAGATCCTGAACCTCTGGAGATCACCGGGGGCCCCAGCGCGGCAAGGAAGACGTCCAGGACTCTCTGCCCCCTCGTCCCTCTCGCCAGTCCCTCAGCTGCTGCTCCTCCTGCCCAGGCATCCCCCGCCTCCCTTCTCGCCGCCGCGCCAGCGGCTGCGCATCCGCAACGGCTGCGAGAGCGAGCCACTCTGGCTGGCCCGCATGGCCGCCGTGGGTGACAGCGAGGCGCGCGCGGGGGCAGCTGGGCGCAGCGGGGTGCACAGACGATCCGACGAAGGGAAGAGGAGCCCAGAGATCCGAGGTTTGGAGAAAATTGAGCGGCCGCAGAAAAGACACAGAACATCGGCCTCGAGGGGCTCTCAACAACGGGCCCCGGGACGGTCAACCAACGACCCGAAACACCGGTCCCGGGGAATGGGTCCAGACCTCTGGGGGCCCACGCATCGAAAAAAAGTGAGAACCAACTGTTTGGGAGGGAAGGGAAAGGCGGGAGAGGGGAAGGGACGGGGAAGAGGACGAGGCGGGACAGGATGAGGCAAGCCCGTTCCCGTGCGCCAGGTGTCTCCGTGGCCCCGCAAACGGTCGTCTCAGTCGGCTGTTCAACAGGTTGCTCTGTCAGTTCACCCTGATCCAGGCATTCGCCACAACATTCGCGAACGTTTACCCTCTCCTGGGCCTCGCGTTGCCTGGCGCTGGCGTGTCTGGCTTAACGTAGCTTTGTTTTACTCTGCGACGGCGATCGTGGGATTAGCTTGGCCTCTACTAGCCTCCTGTAGCATAGCTCATCGCATATCAGCTTGACTCGCTTGGCTCTGCTTAGTTCAGCTTGCCCCAGCTGAAGCCAGAGGCGCTCAGCTGAGAACTCGTACTCTATGGCTTGAGGTTTGGTTTTTGCGCCCCCACTTCAGGCAAACCGGGCCAAGCATCTAGCCTGCTAGGGGCTCGTGGTCCTCCCATCTGTGCCCAGTGAGCCAGTATCCAGGCGGGTCTGAATGCAAGTGTTTTTTCAAGGGACGCTGCAGGCCCACATGTGCTTCATGAGACGCTGTGAGTGCGGCCTGCTAGTGTGCGTGCGTGTTTGTGTGGAGAAGGAGGAGGAGGAGGCGGAGGAGGAGGAGGAGGAGGAGGAGGAAGAGGAAGAGGAAGAGGAAGAGGAGGAGAAGGAGGAGGAGGAGAATGAGGAGGAGGAGGAGGAGCGAGGAGGAGGAGAGAGGAGGAGGCGGAGGTGTGTGTGTGTGTGTGTGTGTGTGTGTGTGTGTGCCCAGGGTGGGCGCCGGCGCTACCCCTGCGGGCGGCGATGCTGCTGCTCACGCCAGCGGTGCGCGCCAGCGGTGGCACAGAGGCCTGGCGTGCCGCTCTGGAGGCGCGGCTGCGGGCCCGGCCGGGGTCGCCGGACTAATTAGTTCATTCGCTGCAGGTCCTCCTCCTCCCTCCTCCCCCTCCTCCTCCCCTCCTCCGCCTCTCCTCTCCTCCTCTCCTCTCCTCCTCCTCCTCCTCCTCTTCCTCTCTCTCCTCTTCCTCCTCCTCCTCCTCCTCCTCCTCCTCCTCCTCCCCCCAGCCGCGGGGTGCCCTGTTCGAATGGTAAAAGTGTGTGTGTGTTGTGTGTGTTGTGTGTGTGTGTGTGTTGTGTGTATGTGTCCAGCCTCAGCTTGGCACTGGCCCCCCGCCACGGCCGGCTGCCTTGCAGCCTGCCTTGTCGGCTCCCCCCCCCCAGCCGCCGGCCCGCCGCTGCTGGTCCCCGCCCTCGCGGCGACTCCCCTGCCGCGCGCCTGGCCCTGTTCTGTGCGAGCCCGGCTTCCTCCGCCCTCCCGCCGCCGCCGGGCGCCTCCTCGTCCTCTTCCTCCCACATGGTGGCTTGATTTGCGTTTGGTGCAACCTGCCAACGCCCTATCCGCCAGCGAGGTGACTCTGCCCAGCCGCCGGCGCAAAATGTGTGTGTGTGTGTCTCTCTCTCTCCCCCTCCCTGTGTCAGCCTCAGTGTGCTCAGTGTGGGGGAGGAGGAGGAGGAGGAGGAGGAGGAGGAGGAGGAGGAGGAGGAGGAAGAGGAGGAAGAGGAAGAGGAAGAGGAAAAGGAGGACAAGGAGGAGGAGGAGGCGGAGGAGGAGGACGAGGAGGAGCAGGAGGATGAGGAGGAGGAGGAGGAGGAGGAGGAGGAGGAGGAGGAGGAGGAGGAGGAGGAGGAGGAGGTCAGTGTGGGGGTCGGGGGTGGGGGCCGGGGCCCGTCGATCGTAATTTCTACCACTCTGCGCTGCTCCCCGGCGTGTTCCAGGAAGCACTTCAGCACGTTCTAGGCAGGGCCCTCGACCAATTTCTGGACCTCCAGCGGAGGGAGGAGGAGGAGGAGAGGAGGAGGAGGAGGAGGAGGAGGAGGAGGAGGAGGAGGAGGAGGAGGAGGAGGAGGAGGGGAGGGGAGGAGGAGGAGGAGGGAGGAGGAGGAGGAGGAGGAGGAGGAGGAGGAGTGGGAGGAGGAGGAGAAGGAGGAGGAGGAGGAGGAGGACGAGGAGGAGGAGGAGGAGGAGAGGAGGAGGAGGAGGAGGAGAGGAGGGATGGAGGAGGAGGAGGAGGAGGAGGAGGAGGAGGAGGAGGAGGAGGAGGAGGAGGAGGAGGAGGAGGAGGAGGAGGAGGAGGAGGAGGAGGAGGAGGAGGAGGAGGAGGAGGGGAGGAGGAGGAGGAGGAGGAGGAGGAGGAGGAGGAGGAGGAGGAGGAGGAGGGAGGAGGAGGAGGAGGAGGAGGAGGAGGAGGAGGAGGAGGAGGAGGAGGAGGAGGAGGAGGAGGAGGAGGAGGAGAGGAGGAGGAGGAGGAGGAGGAGGAGAGGAGGAGAGGAGGAGGAGGAGGAGGGAGGAGGAGGAGGAGGAGGAGGAGGAGGAGGAGCAGGAAGAGGAGGAGGAGGAGGAGGAGGAGGAGGAGGAGGAGGGAGGAGGAGGAGACCCCTGCTCCATCTGCCTCCATGGGGTGATGTGGCGCATATCAGTCATTATTCACCCGTTGCATCCAGCGCTCTTCGCGTCGGGCCCCTCTGGAACGACCATGGCGTCATTCTCGAAAGTTCTTTGATTTTTTGGGGGGCATGATCCTTTTATTTCTAAGTATTCTATCCTGGGTCTCTTCCTGCCCATTAGGGGGCCAGGAACCATCAGAAACGAGCACAATTAGAAATGAACGCGATTAGAAATGGACGACGTGCATTCCGTATTTGGCAGGCATGGGCTGCCCTGTCAACAGCATACGCGGGATGCTTCAGATTTTGCGGCAGGCTGGACACTGAGATGCCAGTACCTCGGCGTCATTGACCATATTAATCCTACCGTGCGTCACTTTACCTCTTCGCCAGCGATGGACCTCCCGCCGGTGCGCCTCCAAGGTTCCGCTGCGGCTGTCTGCCGAAAGACATCCCGCACACCCGTTCGGCATCATGGACACTCACGAGGGTTGGCTCGAATGCAAAGCCAGGGAGGTGAAACTCTGCATCGGCGCTGGTTTGTCCGTGGTTGAAAATCTGCAGAATATGACATCATCCAATTTCGTGTAGCTTAATCCCGCTGAATCCCGCTTAATCCTGATCTTCATCCGGGCCGAGCCAGTTGCATGGCCGCGCAATCTGGCCTAAAAGCTCTGATCGTGCTCACGCAGCTCTTCCTGAAGTTGCTGCCGAAAGTTGGCCCTCGCACCCCGGCCCCGTCGAGGGCACCCCTGGGGCCTCCCCGCCCCTGCCTCTGACGTCCGCCGATGTGCTTTCTCCATCCGCGGCCCCAGAGGTCCGGACCGCCTCCCCGGGGGCTACCGGGGAGGGGGGCGCTCGTTCAGGAGTGCGCCCGGGAGGCTCCAGACACTGGAGGGTTCCTCTTTTGACGAGGGCGACGGCGATCTCCGTGGCCAATCCACGATTGGATTTCCACCGGCTTCCAGACCCTGGTCTCCTTATCCAACGGTCCCTGACCAAATGCCCTCACCCTACAGTCAACCCGCGCAGTAAGGCTGAGCAACTTTCCAAGGGTACCCTGGCGTCATTGCCCCTTCGGCCAATCCCTGGCAACTTTCGCTGGCCAGCCCCACTCGAAAACGCCAACATGGCCTTCTAAGGCCCGTGCATCCTTACCGCGCATCCTTATTCTGAAGGCCAGGCATTACGGCTGGTGCCGCCGACCCATAAGGACGACCACGGCGACCACGATGACGACCACGACGACAACGAAATTGGTGAGCTTGTGACCCTGCCACAACTTGGGACATGGGGCGGGCGGTGGAGGTAGGAGGAGGCGGAGGCGGAGGAGGAGGCGGAGGAGGAGGCGGAGGAGTAGGAGGATGAGGAGGAGGAGGAGGGGGAGGAGGAGCAGGGGGAGGTGGAGGGGGAGGGAGGAGGAGGAGGAGGCGGATGGTGATGATGCTGATGATGATGATGATGATGATGATGACGATGATGATGACGATGACGATGATGATGACGATGACGATGACGATGACGATGACGACGATGACGATGACGATGATGATGATGATGATGATGATGATGATGATGATGATGATGATGATGATGATGATGATGATGATGATGGATGCTGATGATGATGATGATGATGATGATGATGATGATGATGATGATGATGATGATGATGATGACGATGATGATGATGATGATGATGATGACGACGTGATGATGGATGACGATGATGACGATGGATGATGCTGATGATGACGATGACGACGATGATGATGATGATGATGATGATGATGATGATGATGATGATGATGATGATGATGATGATGAGGGAGGAGGAGGAGGAGGAGGAGGAGAAGGGAGGAGGAGGACCAGTGGAGGGTGGAGGGGGAGGGGGAGGGAGGAGGAGGAGGAGGAGGAGGAGGAGGAGGAGGAGGAGGAGGAGGAGGAGAGGATGATGATGGATGATGCTGATGCTGATGCTGATGCTGATGCTGATGATGATGATGATGATGATGATGATGATGATGATGATGATGATGCTGATGATGATGATGATGATGCTGATGCTGATGCTGATGCTGATGCTGCTGCTGCTGCTGTATGATGATGATGATGATGATGATGATGATGATGATGATGATGATGATGCTGATGATGATGATGATGATGAGGAGGAGGAGGAGGAGGAGGAGGAGGAGGAGGAGGAGGAGGAGGAGGAGGCGGAAGGAAGAGGGAGGAGGGAAGGAGGAGGGGGGAGGAGGGAGGGGGAGGAGGCGGCTGCGCATCTTTACCATGCGGGCTGCTTGTAGTTTCTCGTGCTGGCTGCGCTTCTGCTGGCCCTGGAGGCCGCCCGCGGCCGCCCTAGGGCCGCAGCCGAGGAGGCCCCCGCCTGGACCCCAGGCAGCAAGGGCGCTCTCGAGGGTGCGAAGTTATTCGCGCTTCGCGGTTCGCGCCTCCTCCCCCTCCTCCTCCTCCTCCTCCTCCTCCCCTTCTCCTCCTCTCCTTCTCCCCCTTCCCTCCTCCTCTCCTCCTCCTCCCTCCTCCGCCTCCTCCTCCTCCTCCTCCTCCTCCTCCTCCTCCTCCTCCTCCTCCTCCTCCTCCTCCTCCTCCTCCCCTGGGAGGCGGCGCGAGAGCGCGAATGTATTCGCACTCCGCGCTCCGCGCAGCGCGCGAGGCGCCAAGGTGGGAGCCCTCTCGGGGCAGCCTCTCCTCGGAGCTCGGGGGCCGCGCGCGCCGCCCCATCAGCCGCCGGGCCCGGTGCGCCTGGAGCCGGGCGAGGGCCGCCTGTTCGACACGCCGGCGGACCTGAAGGCCCCTGTGGGCTGCTCTTTGGGAACCCCCAAACCGGGTGGTGAGATACCGGGTGGCGACCTGGAATCCCCAAAAAGGTCACCGCGGGGTTTGGGGACACGGGGTCACCACCGGGTTTTGTGACTCCTGGACCCACCAGTGTTCGGGACATCCTCGGAAAACCGCACGAGTCCCCAAACCGGGCGGCGACACCAAATCGCGCGAGACTCACCCCCAGGTGTTGTCACCACCACGTTTGGGGACTACCAAGCTCTCCTCGGCCACGCGCAGAGCTATGGGGTATAGCAAGCGACGCGACGATGGGGCCAAATCGGATCGGGATAGCTCGAAACCTCTGAGAATCGGCGGGTTTGGAGGATGTATTGGGCGCCGCTCTTTGGCTGCCCTTCTCGGACCTCCGAGGCCTCGGCGCCCTCCCTGCCCGGGCCACGGCCGCCTGCCGTCGCCCCCCTCGGCCAGCGCCGGCCCGTCCTCGGCGGGCGGCGCCTGGCCCGGCTCTCTCTCGATCGGCCTGCGGCCAAGAGTAAAACGACGCGAAGATGGAGCCAAAATCGGATCGGGATAGCTCGAAACCTCTGAGAGTCGGCGGGTTTGGAGGATGTATTGGGGCGCCGCGGCCGCTCCAGAGCGTTCCGGAACGCTCCGAGAGCGCTCCGGAACGCTCTGGAGCGATTTATCCCGATCCTAGCCCTGTGTCAGTATAGCCAGGACCCCAGGTGAGGGGACCGACCTGGTTAGCAGTAGGGCCCCGGAGCCCCTAAATTGGCCAGAATCACTAAACCAGGTCTGCCGTAGCTGGTGTTTTTGTCGGGTGACGGCAGTTCCGGTTAGTGGAACGGGGCGGGGGGGGCGTCCCGCAGTACGCATCATTAAACCAGGTCCCATTAAACCCAGTTTTGCCAACTCCCGAATCTAGGCCTCCTAGATGGGGTCGGAGCAGATGGTGTCGGTGGATCGCGCCGCACCGCCGATGCATCGACGGTGTGGCTCGATGTGGGGCCCGATTTTGTCCACGCCGACGTCGCCGATGCATCGCTCATGTCGACGATGCATCCCCCGTGCATCGCCGATGCATCGCCGAGGCATCGCCGAAGCATCGCCGATGTATCGCCGATGCGGCGCGATCCTCCGACCCCTATCCACTCTGACCTCATATAGGAGGCCTCTAGCAGAGGGGGGGAAGGGGACGGGGGGAAGGCTTCTTGGACGGCGAGGGCCTTGTCTTTAGATGTAGTGCTGGCGCCTTCCAAGAAGCAGCCTCCTTCTAAGCAGCGCCTTCTAAGAAGCAGCCTCCTTCCAAGAAGCAGCCTCCTAAGCAGTCTTCGGGTTCGGGCGTCTGGGGGCCCATAGTTTCGAGGCTCCCACAGACTTGTGGCGGCCCGTTTTGCGCCGTTTTCGTCCTCCGAGGGCCCTCCACAGGCCCCGGGGCCGTCAAGCAAGTACAGTCGAGCCTCTGATGTGGGGTCCTCCTCCCGAAGAGCTTGGCAGCGTCTCTTAACACCAACTTGCGAGAAAAGCTGGCCAAATCTCTTGAGCACGTTCGCCCCTCGATCGTCAACAACAGAACTCGGGCCAGGCTTGCATTTAGAAGTTGGGCCAGAACTTCTGGGAAGCTGCGACGAACATGATAATTGCCAGCGCGCTTGGCGAGGTGAGTTGTGTATGTCATAGCAGTCCGCTCCCATCCCCTGCTCCCCCCCAAAAAGAAAACACTTTTGGGAAGCTGGCCCAGATTTCTTAAGTGGTAGTTTTCTGGGTCGCATTTTCAGCTGTACTCAGGACGAACACTCCGCCCTGGGGAAGTGATCCAGACCTCCAGTGGTCTTCGCGTCGAAAGAATTGGGGCGCCGGATCTTGGCAGGGGGGAGGGCCGGCTTCTCGGACCAGGAGGGGGAAAAGAAGGGAGGAGGAGGAGGAGGAGGAGGAGGAGGGAGGGGTAGGATCAGGAGAGGGAAGAGGATCGGAAAGGAGAGGAGGAGGAGGAAAAGGAGGAGGGAGGAGGAGGAGGAGGAGGAGGAGGAGGAAGGAGGTGGAGGGAGGAGAAGGGAGGAGGAGGAGGGAGGAGGAGGAGGACCAGTGTGAACCCAAGGCGCACCAACGATGTTACAATAAACCCTCCCTGCGCCCTGACAATCATAGACTGCGCTAGAATCCAATTCCGATAACTGCAACCATATTACGGATCTTCAAACTTGCTGCAAATGTTTCGGGCGAATGCGCGCGGCGCCACGTTTTGAAAGAAACCGCCCTCCACCCTTCAACCGGTGCAGCCTTTCAAGACGCATTTCTGCGGCGATCAGGCGGTCACCACATTCTGAAAGCCAGCCGCTCTCCAGCCCGGAAAAGGTTACCGACCCGTCAGATGGATGTGCGCGGCGCCGAGGCGAGAGTCACATTCCGAAGAGGAGCCGCCCTCCATCCTCCAGCAGGTGGCAGACTTTTTCGGGCGAGTGTGAGCGGCGCTGTGGCGAGAGCCACATGCTCGAAGCCACCGAGCCTCCATCTCTGAAGCTGTTGCGAATCCTCCAGTTACATCTTTTGAAGCTGTTGCAATTTGCATCTCTGGAGCTGTTGCAGATGTCGAGCTGCAGGGCCAGACGTTGTGATGAAGCCGTGAGCGAAACGCCCAGCCCGCCTTACCGAGAAGTCAAGGGGTGCGACAGGGAGTAGTTTTTTTCTGTCTCGGGAGAAGGGATGCAGGAGACGGAGAAGGAGAGGAGGCTAAGGCGGAGGAGGAGGATTTTTGGATGGCGCATCTGATCCAATCGCTGGCTAATCTGGAATAAGACCCGTATTCAACTGGCCAACTGAGACAGGAGTTGGACCTCAAGAAGTGTACAGCAGGCGCTGACTGGGAATACCCGGCACGAGTGCCAAGACAGAGCTCTGATAAGAGCAGAAAGGCACTTCGGCGACGAAAACGACGGGACGCGCGTCGCCCCGAAGCGCCGTGGCACGACTGTAGATCGTGTGTGCCACGAGCCATCACCAGATGTCACGCGTTCGAGGTGGGGAGCGCACATACGACTGGGAAATGATGGAGGGGGGCAAAGAAGGACGAGTGAGGGGCCCAGCGCGCGTGGGACGAGGAAAGGGGGACAGCCGGGGTGACGACGGGAGCGGAGGCAAGCTGGGTTTGAACCCCCCCCCTTGGGAGGGGGGGGAGGGGTTGAGGGACGGGGGGGGGGGTTAGGGGGAAGGGGGTCTCCCTGGTTCTGATCGACGGCGCCGAGCCCCCCCCGGTTCGAAACGCGCCGCCGAATGTACCCAAGGCAAGCGCCCGTGGAACGCGTTCTCTCGAGCATGCGGATAACGGAGAGAGCGAGGCACGAGTGATGACGTTCTAGTGTGGGGCGAAGCCCGTAAGGGGGGGAGTGCAGAGGGGGGGGCGAGGCCCGGACGCAGAGGTTGGTAATGGCCGTTTTCGGGTGTTCCCCTTGGTTTTTGCATGTTTTTCGGGTTCCCCCCCAAGACGGCCCAAGAGCGCTCCAAGAGAGCCCCAGACCGCCCAAGACGGTTCAAGAGGCCCCCAAGACGCCCCAAGAGGCGCCCAAGGGGAGTCCCAAGAGGGCCCCAAGAGGCCCAAATCATTGATTTTCCTTGAGAAAACGTGCATTTTGAGCATACGCGACTTTTCGGCCTCCACGGCATCGACGACGGCCCAAGAGGCCCCCAAAACCGCCTCCGGACGGCCCAAGAGGCTCCCAAGAGGCCCCCAAAACGGCCCAAGAGGGCCCCAAGACGGCCCAAGAGGCGCCCGAGACGGCCCAAGAGGGCCCCAAGACGGCCCCAAGAGGCGGACCACGAACCGAAAAGTTTAGCCTTTCGCCCCAAGAAGCTCCCAGGAGGCCCCAAGAGCCCCCCAAGAAGCCCCAAGAGGCCCCCAAGAGGCGTTCCAAGAGGCCACCAGGAGGCCAAAATCATTGATTTCCGATCGGAAAACATTCGTTTTTAGCATACAAGGCTTTTCGGCGTTCACGGCGTCGACGACGGTCCAAGAGGCCCCCAAGACCGCCCCAACACGGCCCAAAAGGCTCCCAAGAGGCCCCCAAAACGTCCCAAGAATGCCCCAAGACGGCCCAAGAGTCGCCCAAGACGGCCCAAGAGGGCCCCAAGACGGCCCCAAGAGGGTGACCACGAACCGAATAGTCTAATTAGCCTTTCGCCCCAAGAAGCTCCCAGGAGGCCCCAAGAGTCCCCCAAGAAGCCCCAAGAGGCCCCCAAGAGGCCCCCCAAAAGGGCTCCAAAAGGGCCCCAATGGGACTCCCAAGAAGGTCCAGAGACGCCCAATAAAGAGCGATCGGTAACGCAAAACGCTCTTCTCACCAAGGCTCCCAAGAGCGAACGGTGACGTAAAGAAGCTGATGAGACCAAGGCTCTTAGCAGAGAGCGGTGACGTAACAAGTTCCTGACACCAAGGCCCAGCCAAGGCTCAGGAACGGGCGGCAACGCAACAATCTCCGAACACCAAGGCTCCCAAGAGCGAGGGGTGACGTAACAAGCTCTCAACGCCAAGGCTCTCAGTACCACCGGTGGTGTGAGTAATTTCGGTTTCTGTTTCTGAAGCGCTCTTTCCGTTTCCGTGCCGGCCCAGATTTAGCGACCGGGACGGATGGCCTGTCTATTGGCCGATGGTTGGTTCGCCTATCGTAGGTAAGCCAGTGCCCTGGCGCAGGTCTGCTTGGCGTGCTCCGTGACCGCTTGCAGTGCAAGGTGGAGGGGAGACGGAGATAGGCAGGAGGAGGAGGAGGAGGAGGAGCGGGAAACGGGGGAGGAGGAGGAGGAGGAGGAGGATGAGGAGGACTTGTGAAGTGATATGGCTTAAGGGGCGCCTTAACCCCATGTGATATTGCCTGCGGCCATCTCCACCCCAGGGTTGACAGGGGGACCTGCGCCACAGCAGGCCACCCTAGGGGTGACAGGAAGAATTGGACGTCCCCAAAGCCCAACGACTTCTCGTTGAATCGAGGGAAGACGCGTGTCAGACCTAAGTGTCCAATG